AAGATTAGATATACTTTAGTTGATCTAAAATATTGATGTGTTCAAATGCTCTTCAAAACACAACTGAAAGTCCATGAAACTTGTCTTTCTGTATTTGTGAATGAAGCGCCATCTCCTGGTTAAAACCTGAAATTGAAAATCTGGCAACGCCCTCTTGGAAAATAGTGGGAGGGCTTAACATTCCTCAATACTGGTCTTAGGCAGGTCGTAGGCAGGAAGCTGTAAGCTGGAGTCTGAAATGAGGTGCTACATCTGTACATAAAATATATGTGAATTAATAAATACATGAATCAGCATCCATCTTGTACCTGAGTGGCTGCTCTTACTGCCCATCTGGCTCTCTGATTGGCTGTGTGCCACTTGGGGGAGGTCCTGGCAGGACTGGATGGGCGAATCACGTCCGGACGGGGCGATGCTTGGAGCTTTCTCCATGTTCTTCATCTCCATCTCCTCATGGTGGATCCACAGGTCAGGGGGTCGCAGGTCCTTCTGGCTGCCTTTCCTCTTACTGGCACTGTGGCTTGCTCTCTTCCTGCACAGAGGACGAGATAGGTGAGGAAGGGAGGTAAACATGTGAGGAAGGGAGGTAAACATGTGTAAACATGTGAGGAAGGGAAGTAAACGTGTGAGGAAGCGAGGTAAACATGTGAGGAAGGAAAGTAGACGTGTGAGGAAGCGAGGTAAACATGTGAGGAAGGGAAGTAAACGTGTGAGGAAGCGAGGTAAACATGTGAGGAAGTGAGGGAAACGTGAGGAAGAACAGGAGACAGACCAATATAAATGGACAACACAGTGTATTATGGGTGGAATGCTTATACAGTCATGTTACAAAGCAAACATCTAAATTCCAGCAGAGCATGAAGGCACCATGACAGAAACATCAGAGTGCAGCCTGGCTCATGTTTACTGCATTCACAGAAAACACAGCAGCAGACAGGTATTGGTGCATGGAGAGGTGGGGTCTGATCTGTTGTGCTACAACAAACATATTAGATTTTTTGAGGTACATTATAAAATATCACTAACCAGATGCAATAAAACACCTATTGAAACGCAATGAAATAAATGACCCAGATGTAATTAGCCACTTAGGTCAGGTCCATCCCAGGTGTAAGTAAAACAGCATTGGAGATTTGATTTGAACACAGGTTCAGACCGGTTCGGGCCTCTTACTTCCTCTGCTGGGCGGAAGAGTGCCGGGTGCAGATGAGGGCCACGATGACCACCACCACCACAGTGATGGCCCCCACCGACACCACGATGATCACCAGCAGGTTACTGTTCTTCTGAGGCGTGGCGCTGCCGTGGGGGGGGTGCATCTGACCAATGGGAGACTCTGTAAGGTACAAAAGACAAGAAGATAAAATCAAATATTAAACACTTTAACTTTTGCAAACCATTGTTCATATAGTCAACTTCATAACAGTTTACTTGGAAATACTGTATGTGAAACGAAAACCAAACACTTTTGAATGATTACCATGCCTTTGACAAAATACCTTGAATTTCAATCTTTTTATTTCACAATTGCTATTTCGAATTATAATTCAAATGTTGTCATCGTTTATATTTGCATGTACGCAGAAGTTGCTTCGTTATGAAAGCCGACATAGGCTATGTTATCATGACATGAAGACTCAAGATGTAAGTGAGTTATTGTGTATAAAACTCAACTGTTATTTGAATCCCAGAACAAAAACTGAAAAATAAATATAGGCATTTCGCTCTCAAATCTCCATGATGCTGTTCATTCACTGTATCTCAGTGTTTCATTAAAGTGTACAGTACATATGCAATAGGAAATAACTTATTTTATACATATTTCTATTTAAACATTAGTGATTTAACGACAAGGACAATTTAAGAAAGCCTGGCATGAAAACACAATGCTTCTGCTACCAGTCAATACACTGTGTGTGTGTGTGTGTGTGTGTGTGTGTGTGTGTGTGTGTGTGTGTGTGTGTGTGTGTGTGTGTGTGTGTGTGTGTGTGTGTGTGTGTGTGTGTGTGTTTATGTGTGTGTGTGACAGGTGTAAAGGGAGAGAGGAGATTGATGACATGCTCTGTCATTCATTAACCCGACCTTGGAGCAGAGAGAGAGAAAATGGGAAACAAAGGGGGAGCATGAAGTCTGGAGAGGAGAGGAGAGGAGAGAGTGTGAAGAGAGAGGAAGAGAGATGGGGGGGTGATAGATGAGAGAAAGAGAAAGGGCATGACGGCATTCTGAAGAAAGGAGAGAGGAAGAAGATGGTTGAAAATCTGACGAAGGAAAATATGTGAGAGGTACTTTACCTCCCTCACCTCTCTCCCCTTCTCTGCGCTCAGTGGTCTCTCTCAATGAGAAGCACAATCCATCACATTGCAGCTGCACCATTTCCCTTTCCCTGCTTTTAGTTAGATTTGATCCTCCTTTCCTTTTTTTTCTAAAACAAGTTTCATGTCTTTTCTAACAGAACTCTGGCCCTTTGCTACAACCTTTAAGGTGCTTAGAAAGGTCCTCTGGTCATTCCAATGTGGGGGGTTCTACCTCTGGGGAGGGGATAAGATTCAATCTAACTGGCAGTTGTTGAGATATCAGTACGAGAAAACAACACGCTGCCTCCATATACTGTACACCCCCCCAGCAGGATCAGTTACCCCAGGTGGGGAAAGTACTCAGATCTTGTACTTTAGTAAAAGTA